AAAAAAACTCAAACTGCATTGCATTCATTTTGGAGACTGAAACAGGGGCCAAAGGTCGTTGCGGTGCTCATGTGCCACCCCCAGGACCCCCGCACTTTTAAAACTGCTGCTCCGCCTCTGCCCTGTTGTCAATAACGGTACAAATCTTTTCATTTGTGCTTTGTAAAGATGACGAACTCACAACGTGTAATTTTCTCCGGTGCCCTCAGGTAAACTCTGCTGCGCTGACCTATGACCCCTGCGAAGAACGGACCTGTGGAGAGGGGGACACACGGGTGAAGAAGGGGTGTGGGCTGGAAGGTGTCGCTGGTGATGTCACAAATCCTAGCCATCCAGGATTGGACCCTAATTAGAAAGCTCGGCAGCACACAGATAGCGGCGCCGCATGGCTGCTTCCAAAGTGGCTGATGCCCGAGTTTCTGCAGAGCCACGGAAAACAGTCGGAGCGCAGAGGAGAGGAAGAGGTGGAAGAGTGCTGCTGCTGCTGCGCTGCAAACAGTCTCAGTGCGAGCTGGAGTTCCAGAGGTGACACACGAACAGCGAGGACGCCCCCCCACACTCTGGTTTGGGGAGAGAGAGAGAGAGAGGGAGGGAGAGAGAGAGAGAGAGAGTGAGAGAGACGAGTACATAACCTGAGTCTACGTCTGAGACGAGGTCGCTGCTTTGTCGCACAGCAACGGAGTCTGAATCGAGACAAGTACAAAGAGCAGAGTCGAGCCTCCGAGTCCAAGTTTGTCCCCCCCGCGCGTCTCTCCAAAAAGGCTGCGCTTCATGGCATCCGTACTTGGAAACGGCAGCCGCGCGTCCGGGGCTCAGAGCGGCCAGATGAAATGCAAGCTGAAGAGGAGGCGCAGGAGGCGATGTAAGAGAAAAGGTAAAAAAAATAACATTTTTTATAAAAGAAAAGAACTTTACAGCACTTCTTTTGTACCGTACAGCGCTCTTTTCTCCTCTGGTGCGAGCAGAGGTCGTGCGCACCTTCACGGGGTAGCGGAGCGCACGGCGCAGCGGCTGAGCCTCCGCTGCCCCCGCTGCTGTGTTTGCACCTCGAAATCGGCTAATGGGCAATAATGGGCAAAAATAACCCCCTCAAAGTGTGGATGTAGTTAAAAAAATGTCATCTGTTTTATAAACGGAATGGAAATAATCAGCATCATTGTCTTTAAACGACGCGTCATCTGTCCTCCGTGAAGCTGAAGTTGCTGCTGCGTTCACTGTCCCTGAAGTCGCTTTTCTCTTAACATCACGGGGCAAACAAAACGTATATGTCACACTGTTGAATTTACCGTTTCATTTATAAACGTGGGCTTTGCATTTATTTAAGTATGAAGTATGATGACCAAAAAAAAAGTACATTACTCAGCAACCAAACCTCATATAACACAACTCCCACCTGAGACTTCACAGTTGTTATTTTTTAAAACCGTTATCAGTGGTTTTCAACCTGTCCTCTAATCATATGAACAAAATCGTAGGTAAAACATATTTAATTTAAATTTGTATCTAAACCTAAATCTCCCCCTAGCAACTGATTCTTCTTTTTGATGTTGTTTGGATTCTGCTGAACAGATATAACTGTTAACGTACAAAATGATATGACATCGTAGGATAAAAGTATAAAATGTTCTGTAACAGTCAATATATATATATAGTTCACATCTCCAAAGAGTACCTGGTACAGTTTTAAGTTTCTGTTAAAATTATAATAGAATTTTGAATTTTAAAGGGAAAATATGGTAAAAAAAGAAATTGAAAAAAGTTACTTGACTAATTTGATGGAAATATTTGATTATAATTATGACCAAATTTATCTTCAAGTGTTTTTCTAGGCTTCCCTCTGTGGCGACACCTTAACACACGCTGACCCATCTTTACCATGGTAAATCATGATATCCTGTTAATACAGTATCTGTGCCAACGACAGCTCTGTGTTGTTGTCATGCACAACGCAAATCCCAAATAACTCAGAGGCTGAGTTTGATCGCACGTTTCCATCCTACCACCTCTTATTTTGTGATGTTGTGTTTTTCTCTATTCTTTTTTTTTAAGCAGCATTTTTAGCAAAGGGTTTTGTTCTGTGTTAATATTTACCCACACTTGCTGAGTAATTTGTTATTTCATCCTGTGTTCCAGAGGGGGGAAAAAATGGGGGAATGACATTTTAGAGCGATGAAATAAAAGACGTTATTTAGATGTGCCAGTGAAGCCTTTGATACTAGGAGATAACCCCCTCAAAGTGTGGATGTAGTTAAAAAAATGTCATCTGTTTTATAAACGGAATGGAAATAATCAGCATCATTGTCTTTAAACGACGCGTCATCTGTCCTCCGTGAAGCTGAAGTTGCTGCTGCGTTCACTGTCCCTGAAGTCGCTTTTCTCTTAACATCACGGGGCAAACAAAACGTATATGTCACACTGTTGAATTTACCGTTTCATTTATAAACGTGGGCTTTGCATTTATTTAAGTATGAAGTATGATGACCAAAAAAAAAGTACATTACTCAGCAACCAAACCTCATATAACACAACTCCCACCTGAGACTTCACAGTTGTTATTTTTTAAAACCGTTATCAGTGGTTTTCAACCTGTCCTCTAATCATATGAACAAAATCGTAGGTAAAACATATTTAATTTAAATTTGTATCTAAACCTAAATCTCCCCCTAGCAACTGATTCTTCTTTTTGATGTTGTTTGGATTCTGCTGAACAGATATAACTGTTAACGTACAAAATGATATGACATCGTAGGATAAAAGTATAAAATGTTCTGTAACAGTCAATATATATATATAGTTCACATCTCCAAAGAGTACCTGGTACAGTTTTAAGTTTCTGTTAAAATTATAATAGAATTTTGAATTTTAAAGGGAAAATATGGTAAAAAAAGAAATTGAAAAAAGTTACTTGACTAATTTGATGGAAATATTTGATTATAATTATGACCAAATTTATCTTCAAGTGTTTTTCTAGGCTTCCCTCTGTGGCGACACCTTAACACACGCTGACCCATCTTTACCATGGTAAATCATGATATCCTGTTAATACAGTATCTGTGCCAACGACAGCTCTGTGTTGTTGTCATGCACAACGCAAATCCCAAATAACTCAGAGGCTGAGTTTGATCGCACGTTTCCATCCTACCACCTCTTATTTTGTGATGTTGTGTTTTTCTCTATTCTTTTTTTTAAGCAGCATTTTTAGCAAAGGGTTTTGTTCTGTGTTAATATTTACCCACACTTGCTGAGTAATTTGTTATTTCATCCTGTGTTCCAGAGGGGGGAAAAAATGGGGGAATGACATTTTAGAGCGATGAAATAAAAGACGTTATTTAGATGTGCCAGTGAAGCCTTTGATACTAGGAGATTTTCCTGAGGTGTTTTGACTAATGGAATGCAACTTTGAATATTTTTTTTTTTCAATTCTAAAAATGGCACATACACTGTTATATTCTTATACAGTAAAGTGTGTGTGTGTGTGTGTGTGTGAGGGGAGAGAGAGAGTAAGAGAATGTGTGTATTCATTTCTTTTCTCTCAGTTTGTATGTTAACGTTATATAAAAAAGGAGAAGATGTAAATAATTTAGCTCTGACATATTAATTTTATTTATTTATTAATACGTATAACAGACGACGCCGTGACAGTTCTCGTTGTTTATGCTCGGAGATTCCCGACGTGCGCTTCCCGTCCTGGAATATGGATGAACGCTCGGAGCGTGTTGACGTCTCCAACTGCAATTGAATGCATAACGAGCTTTCATAAACACTTTGCACTTGTCATCAAAGTATAAACAGACAACCGCACCTCATTTCCATAACCTCTTGATTTTTAATAGCCCAAGTAATTGAGACAAGGCAGACAATACATAAAATATAGTGCTGAGGCAAATGTATTTACATAATGGAAACGACAGAATTGGTTCCACAACATTAAGCATTGCATATGAGTATCACACAAAGCCCGCGCACATTAGCTGACAGGCCCTGGCTGCATACTTCCCAACGGCTAATTTATCAGTGCTGCTGATTCACTCTGATAACACGGGACATTAGAGGCCAGTTCAAGGGACGGCTTCTAAATGAACTGTGTCTTTGAGAAGTGCTGATGGCCGCTGACTCCACCAGTGCTGCAGGAGTTGACTGAGTTCCCTCTGACAGTTGGGAGAAAAAAAAAAAAAAAACACTCAGTCCTGTCTGTACTGCGTCTCGCTGTCTTTGTGTCTCTGTCTCGAAATCACTGGGATTGAAAGAGGCTTAAACAGCATTTTTTCATCATCATATGTTCCATCTTCCCACATGTGATCAACTTGAGACTTCACACAATTATTTTAGAGGCTACGCGGATTACCGACCTGTATTCAGGGCCTAATCCCTGCAGATTATTTGCAGATGAACTCACTAAAAGCAAAAGACGCGTGCACATTTGTCCCTTACAGCTTTGATTATTTTTCTCTCCCCCCCTTGGCCTCAAACTTTTCTTTGCCTTTCTGTACATTTTCAAATCAGAATCAAAACAGATTGCAGATTTTTATTTTTAGTAAATCCATTCTTTTGCTTTTTTGCTCTCGTCCACCTGAATTCTCTCCCTGTTTTGCGATTGGCCAACTGCTGCTTCCTTGTATTTTATAGGTTACGGAGCTCATGTCAATGCGGCGTTGTGCACGTGTACACCTCCGCTGTGTGTTTGTTTGCTCCCCCCTTAAGAGCAGTGTTTGACCGATGTCATCACTCCTGCTGGGAATCCTGGACGCACCGTGTGGCTGTCTCTTAATTAATCACAACCCTGTGATTTATTATGTCTGTTATATGGTGTCCCCGAAGGCACGTCAGTGCCACAAATAAAGCGCCTCTCAGGGTGCGTGACAGTCACGCAGCAGACACACAAGAGCGAGCGTGTCGTGGCTTTAAGTTAGCAGCGTTGCCTGATTTTAGCGTGACATATGTACAGCATATTCTTCATCTTTAAACCACCTTCTCAGCCACAGAAATAAGCACGGCACAGTGGAGATTTATAGACCAACATTATTTCTTTTTACGGCCTCACTTATCACCCTGTACTCTCAGCGTACTGTACAGTATATCAGTGAATCATCAGGAGCGCCCAGGGGCATGTGTGGAAAAACACGGTGAAACATAATTCATATTGCAATTACTGTTAAGCCCTGTCTTTTTTTTTTTTAATCGAGGTGCTATTGGAGGGGTCCAGGTTGTGCCGTCGGTGTCGGTCGT